GGTGCCCCTTCCCCGTTCTTGAAGAGGTGACCAAACCATGGAAGGCCAGGATAGGACCAGCAAGTCGGGCTGGACCCTATCGATGTATGAGAGAGCATTCTCATAGTCTGAGTCTTGAAAAAGATTCCGCTGGGGAAAAGTGATTGGCTCATGCGCGATCCAGCCACGTTCAACGGGAGCCAGACTAATGGCACATGTCCATGTGAAAACCTCAAGCACTGACCATCGCTTCCTTTGGCAAAACTTGGACTGGGGCTGCTTTGCTGGCGCATGGGAAGAAGGCTTCTGCATGTCCTTCTTCGGCTCCGTAATGAAGGCATGTCTCTCCTCAGCCTCTCTGGCCCCTTCCTCATCATCCTCAGATTCTTCTGACACCACCTCAATGCCAGCCTCATGGGATGAGGATTCAGTCTCTTGGTTGGAGAAATTGCCCTGATAACTTTCAGAGCCAAAGTCTTCCTGTCCACCAACTGTGTGATCTACGTCAGGGATGCTAATGACACCAAGATCTTCTTCCAGATGCTTTCGCCACTGTTCCACCTTCATCTCCTCCCCTGACGACAATTCTTCCACCAGGGGGTCTTCCTCACCTTCTGAAGAATCTGAGCCTTCTTCGGCTATGGCATCTGCCACAAAAGACAAGGACGCGGGTGAATCAATCAGCCACTGCTTCTTTTGTCATGCTTCCTCTGAGTTCCAAAACTTTTCCAAAACTGCTCCTTTTCCACCGTCCAAAAGATCAACACCAGGGTGCCTAGTTGAAGTCAAGCGCATGGGACGGCTCACTCCATTCAGCTCCATGCGCTTCTCTTGGAACCTGAAGCACCCCAGCGACTCAGCTCTGATGGTCCAATCAGCCCTGGACAGGCCTTTGCATCTTCACCCACCATTGACATTCTGATGATATCATGCACGCCATGCACACTCACAGGGTAGATGAAAGCTTTTCGGCTGATAATGGAATCTCCGGCACCAAAACGGTATATCTCGTGCTCTTGCACTTCTTCAAAAGGGATTTGCAACCTGGTCAGGGCTCGCTGGTAGTCTGCATGCCACCACTTCCCGCCAACTGCATTGCGGCAGCCACTGTCTGCAATGGCTAAGCCAGGGACTTTCCCTTCTGAGAATTCACAGGCATGAACAGTAGTGATCTCACTTGGGCTATCTGGTAAATACCAGAACTCAGTGATGATTGTCTTCGGGCCATCAGGGATTGTTGCCTCCAGTTTCGCTTCATTGTTGACCGGCATCAATCACCTGCCCGTGGAAATCTTTTGTGATTCGCCGGCAAACGCGATGCAAATGTGGCCCTTGAGGGCCAGGCAATTTGAATTGAGTGGCTTGCTCATCAGACCTCAGCCACACAAGGGCATGCTCTGGCACGCCGGGAGGTGGTTCATGGCGCATGCGAAGGACATGCCCATGGGACACTACCAAAACTCCATGCCGGACGCTGTAGTAAATCATGTTCTTCAAATTGCATTGTTTGCATCTAGCTTGATGCCCTTCAAAATTTGCTGTCCATTTGAGAGGTGTGAAGACATTTGGACTGTTCTTCTGTGGGCGTTGGTGCTGCTGAAGATGGCAGCAAACGGCCATTGTGAGTCTGGCGGGCGCAGAGTTCATCTCGGAAATCTTGCAGCTCACGATCTCTCACTGCTTTGGGCTTGCCATCCTTGCTGGATGGCGGATTCACATGAGTGAGCTGCTTCGGCAAAACTGGGCGCTGATCCCGGGAAGACCTGGAGACCATCGCATTGTGGACTGCTGATGCCCCTCATCTCGGTGAGGGGAAACTTCTTGTTCGATCAAAATTCGGTGCCTTTCCATGGCACTCCATGCTTCTTGCCTCTCCTCCAATTCAAGGGCTTGCTTCAACCTTCTTTTCTCCTCTTTGCTCATGTCTGGCAATGTTGCCAGCAGTTCTTTTGGCCCTAGGGACACAACATCTGGTGGCGCACGTGGCTTGGGCTTGGCCTTGGCCAAAACCTTTGCTCTGTCTTTGGGGGGATCGAAGGTAAAGTGAGCCGGGCCCTCAACAACATCCCAATGATCTTCCTCAGGTTCTTGCCGCTTGTTCTCAGCCATGCGTTGTTCTGGCAAGAGCTTATGACCGCACTGCTGGCAGAATTTTGCAGTCATTGCCACTGGCCAGCTGCATGAAGGGCAAGCACCAGGAGATGGAACTGGAACTTCGCTGCTGCCAGATCCCACCATGAAGGTGAAGTGAACTCCATTGGGTTTCTTGTGTGGTGGATCCTGTCCTGACTTCACATTAGGACACTCAGCATCCCCTTTCCAATGCCCAACCAACCCACAACTGGAGCAGGTTGTTACCCGTTTTCGGGCGTCGGTGGATTGCTCTTTTCCACCGCTCTTTGCAGCAGGCCTCCAACCACGCGACTTCCTCACTTCAGAGGTTTTCTACTTTGCCTTCCAGCCTGCTGCAAAAACTTCTTTGAGCTCCTCCTCATCAATTTCGCCCTCGCTATTGCCTTCTATCTCTTCATCCTCTGCGCCTTCCTCACTTTCCTGCCCGTCTTCAGGCTCCTCTTCGGAACCTCCATCTCTCTCTTCTTCACCTTCCGCCTCAATCTCTTGGTCTGCCACATGTGTGTTGTTTATCTTTCTGTTGACAAACACCTTCTTCTTGAAGTGAGAACTGCCTTTTGTGTGTGTGCGCTCTCATAGCGAGGCTCACGGGCTGGACCACGCTTCTCATCCTCGTGTATCCTCCCACACCTCACTCTCAGAGCATTCTCGACCTTCAAGCTTTCAAAACAAGCACCAGCAGCATAGTAGCAATCCAACCTCTCGCGTCGGCTCAAAGACGCACGCTGGAGAAGTTTCTGGCCCCATGCCTTGTCAGAAATGCGCGTCTCTGGATCGATTCTGTAGTACTGGGCTCGCAATCTGCGCATCTCAGCAAGGTAATGGGCCATAGATTCACCAGGCTGGCGCCTGCATTTCTCCAATTCTCTGTCAGCACGCTCAAATAATTCAGGCTCTGATTCTCCAAAAGCTTCATCCAAGACTTTCCAAAGCAAATGAAGGCCGCCAGAGCCTGTATAGGTGGTGATTGGATGTTGCTCTACAACATCTCTTGCTTCTTGTCTGGTGGACAAGTACACCAGCATGCTCAATTCTGCACTTTCCAGCCATGCAAATGTTGTTGTGCTTCGATTGCACGTTTCCACTTGAGATACCTACTGCGATCACCATAGAACTCTTCAATCTTCACAGACCCTAAAGAACTCTTGGGACGACTGTCAGTCTCTCTGTGCATCCTACGCAACATTGAACGCACCTCCGAAGTGGCTGCTGAAGAGCTCTGTGCTGACTCGCCGCCATCACCATCACCATGGTCTGAAGGTGGCTGGTTTCCAGCAGCATACCTGGGCTGAGATTCCGGTCTGCTTGGTGTGGTAGGTTTGGACCATGTACTGGTTTCTGGTGGCACCTGGCCAGTGACCCCAGCACCATTGCATCCACTGTTCACTCCCATGTTCCCCATGCAGAACCCGCCAGAAGCAGGTGGCTGGCACATTGGAACTCCAATCCATGGGTGCCCAGGATAAATTCCATGACAAGGGGGATAACATCCAAGAGGGACAGAAGGACCGTGAGGATAAATTCCGGGATGCCAAGGAAAGGGATGAGGCCAACCATGATAAACACTTGGAAATCCGTGAGGTCCAGGAAACCCAGGGGGAGCATGTGCATTAGGATGGGGTGGAACTGGAAAACTTTGGTGCAACTCTGATAACACTGGTTGTTTGGGACCTGACTGACCTTGTTTGTGAAGATGTTGCGCCTGCCCATCATGTCCGCCAGTCGTTCCAGTCTCCCTTGGTGGATCAGCTACAGAAGGAGTTGACCATGGACCTGTTCCGTCAACCCAAGGGTCTTCTTCCCCCTCTGAAGCCCGATCATCATCCAGAGGCGCATCAGCGCCCCCCAGAAGCTCCGCAGCTGTAGCAGCCGCCTCTGCCGCCGCCATGCCGCCAGTCACAGCCGCCGCAGCCGCACTATAGCATCTGCAGCTGCCGCCCCCGCTGCGCTAGCATCCGCAGCCACCGCCGCCGCGCTAGCATCCGCAGCTGCCGCTGCCGCTGCGCTAGCATGCGCAGCCGCCGCCGCGCTAGCACCCGCAGCACTAGCAGCCGCCTTCGCAGCCCCGCACTTGGGCCGCCGTTCTTTCGCCGCCATCAAGGCGTCACACAAGCAGTGCAGCAAGCAGCCTACTTATTGTGACCGCCCCCAAGTGGATGGGGCACCACTCCCAAGAAAAGATTCCCAGAAAAGGGGGCTTCCCCAAACGAGAACCACGGTGCAGGGACACACAGCAATGCAGGCAAGCAAAATGGGCAAATGCAGTCTTTTGCGGCTGAATGAACATCGATGTCTTGAGTGTTAAAAATGCAGCCGGATGGAGCGATGCGAAGTTGCACGTCTCGATTTGTTGCACTTCTCGATTTGTGCGCACCTGGCGATGAGTCAAGAATCAAGCAAACACTGCCCTCTGCACAAAACCATCAACTGGTGCAGGATTCGCAACCATCCACTGTGGGTATTGTTTCCTGTCCCTCTGATTCCACATCAGACTCCGCAATGGTACATGAATTATGTGTCTGTTTTTGTTGTTAGGCTCGTTATACATCAATATATATATATATATATATATATTGTATAGATACAAAATACCAGTATATTCCATTGTATCCCACTGATCCCACTATCATTTATATCCCATGACTTATATCCCATGACATCCCATTGCTACATCCCATAGATTCTCATTATATCGAATTTTTTTGGCATCGCGGAATGGTTGCATCCCATCATGTTTCTCAGACTCCCAACTCAACATGTCGGTCATATACCCCGTTCATTCCCACTAGGAATCTCCCTTTTTTTGTTGCTAATTGATTTCCATAGTTCAGAATGTTCAGATCACATCTCCACCAGGTGAGATCATTGTCCCGTTTCCACGGTCCCAGGTTTGACCTCCAAGTTGCTGAGTTTTCGCCCCAAGAAGCTCCGCTGGCTGCGAACCTCGTCGCCGTCGTCCTCGCGGCGCCTGCCGCCGGTGCACCTGGCGCTGATTGCGTCGGTGGGGGAACCGCCCTACGGGCGTCAGGCACTGGCGACGGTGCGCAGCGCCCTGTACTTTGCGAAGACGCGGAAGTGGCACGGTGAACGTTTCAGTGGAAGGGAAAAAACATCATATGAATGAACCATTAATATATATAATTAATCTAATAAAATATAATATAATATATAATATTTTAAAAATATAATATAATATAATGTAATACAATATAATTTAATATAACAATATAATATAATACAATATAATGCAGTTTAAAATAAAATATAATATAAAATAAATAAAAATATAAGATAATACAATATAATCCAACTTCAAATATAATATAAAATATAATATAACATATTTTTAAATAAAATACAATATAATTTAATATAAAATATAATATAATATAAAATATGATTAAAATATTATTTAAATATAAATATAATTTAAATATAAATATAATAAAATACAATATAATATTGTTTAATATTTAATGCAATATAATTTGATTTTTAGTTTAATGTATAATACAATATAATATAATTTGATTTGATATGGTTTGATTTAATATAATATATTATATTATAATATATTATATAACTATACTGTAGTTGTATCAGTTATATTGCATCAATGCATGGTGGTATAAACATGTATAGACTATAAACCATCATTTAAATTGAAACCGGAAAGCCCTAGATTTGATGGTGAAAACCCATGGCTTCCGGTTATTTTTTCCCAAGAAAACCAACCCATTGAAAGTTACAGGGACAGTTGTGGTTGAAAGAATGAAAGGTTTGTGGGAAAATGGGTTTGCGCAGTGAAAATTGAAGAACATGGTTGGTTAACTGATGTTAACTGGTTTGACGCATGAGCAAATTGGTGGGGTTGAGCATTTTTTAATCCATGATAAGAATGGTCAAACCTGGCTGTAAACATTTTTGAAAAAGTGAAACGCGGTATATTAGGAGACAGTAGACAGTGATGGATTAAACCAGCGAAGCTGCTGAAGAGTTTAATTTGAACTTGAGAATGTTGACCAGGGGAAAAAGTGGGAATATCACGCAAACCGAAGTAGAAACATCGTTTGAACACAGAAGGTTCACCAGCAAAATTGTAGGGTTTAAGGGCCCGAAGTCTTAGTTGTTTCGATGTATTTAGATTGCACACAGTGGTGGATTTAACATGATTTAGCTATCTTAACTTCGTTCATCAAGACTGGGAACGGGCCACGATTCATTTGTAGCGCATGGAAAAGAAACACTGATATGTTTGAATAGTTACTTATGTTTCTTGTGGGATTTTCAAAAAACATTGTTTGTTTGCAGGTTCTTGAACATGTATGTCAGTGTCTGAAACGGAGTCGATTCTGGAGAGTCTAAGTGGTTGAAGGTACCATGAGGTACACATGGTTACCTTTACCTAGTGTTACCTAGCTATGAAACAAATGGCCCATGTCTAGATGATAAACATGATGATTTACGGTACCGATTAAACATGGTGATGTTCCATAGCTAGGTAGCCTCCAAGGCCTAGGACCTAGCTGTTCTCGGCTGCCACATTTGCTTCAGATTAGTTTAAAGTGTTTGATGGGATGACTCATCGACTGAGGCCCCCTTTTAGTGGGTATTTCATGATCAGACAGGGGGATGGGATTACCCATCATCAGGCTCAAGAGAGATGAACAAAGCTGCGATTTCACGTCAGCGGCAGCTAGTTTGTTCGAGCCATCATCATCCCTGGTCAAAGAGACCCTGGTATAGCTTCATGGGTCCCTGGTTGCGACTTCTCTAATGGTTTCTGCAGGTTTTGGTCATACGGTGTTTCTACGAAGTGATGGCTGTGCCGTTGCTTGTGGATGGAATGAATACGGACAATGCAGCATTCCAGCTTTGGATGAGGGGGTGACATACACCCAGGTTTCTGCGGGTGGTTGTCACACAGTACTTCTTCGAAGTGATGGCTGTGCCGTTTCTTGCGGCCGGAACGATCATGGACAATGCAGCATTCCACCTTTGGATGCGGTTATGACTTACGCCCAGGATTCTGCGGGTGGTTGTCACACAGTACTTCTTCGAAGTGATGGCTGCGTATGGCTGTGCCGTTTCTTGCGGCCGGAACGATGATGGACAATGCAGCATTCCACCTTTGTATGAGGATATGACATACACCCAGGTTTCTGCAGGTTTAAGACATACAGTGCTTCTCCGAAGTGATGGCTGTGCCATTGCTTGCGGATGGAATGACACTGGACAATGTAGCATTCCAGCTTTAGATGAGGGGGTGACATACACCCAGGTTTCTGCGGGTGGTTGTCACACAGTACTTCTTCGAAGAAATGGCTGTGCAGTTGCTTGCGGATGGAACAGAGGCGACATTCCACCTGTCGACCACGGCGTGACATACACCCAGGTGTCTGCAGGTGGTGTTGGAGGTGTTGTTCATACGGCGCTTATACGAAGTGATGGCTGTGCTGTTGCTTGTGGACACAATTCGCAGGGACAATGCAACATTCCACCTTTGGATGAGGGTGTGACATACACCCAGGTTTCTGCGGGTGCTCTGCATACCGTCCTTCTCCGAAGTGATGGCTGCGCGGTTGCTTGCGGAAGAAACCATGAAGGAAAATGCTCAATTCCATCTTTGAAGTCATGGCGTGACTGGTTTCGCTTTTGGTCTCCAGGCCTTTTTTAGATTTCCGATTTGAAGCCACTTGGGAGAAAACCAGAGCGTGTGTTGCAACTTTGCTTTGATCGCGAAGCTGATGCTATTGTTCTACTTTGCTTCGGTTTGCTACTTAAATACATATTAGCTACATATATGTGCATTCTTTCAATATAGTTTAGTAAGGGCTAAGTAGATAAGTAGAAATAAGTAGGTAGATTTTTTGGTTGACATATATGTTACATAGCTACATATATGTCAGTTAGCATGTATATATAAGCCCAAGTTCACGGTACATAAAATCTACATATCCTACATAGCAAAATGCTGTTTTTTGAACATTTTTATCTAGCTACTTTTTATGATCTGCAAATTTCGAAGCTTTCTTGGCTCAAAGAGGAAACAAAGCGAAAAAAAGGTACAAAATGGAGAAAGCCGTGTTGGCTTCTCAGAAGTTTTTGAAAGGACTGAAGTCCTTACCAACTTTCGATGATGTGAAGCAAAAGCAGAAGTTGCATTTGGAGGCAACTTTGGCGAAATGTTTGACATTTAGCACGGAATCTGCCACTTCAATCATGTCAGTTTTGGATTCTGACATATGGACAGAGTCAGAGCTGCAACATTTCAAGCTGATTATCTCTGAGAAAACGACCCACGAGGTCAATACTCGGAGGTCGTATCAAGATTTTGTGAACTTGCCATATTATCTCACACCTGCGTGGTGGAACTACTTGCAGACTGCGCGTCAGCCAGAAGAATGTTTGCAGGCATTGAGCAAGCTCAGTGCCAAGTTGGGATTGCGTTGCCCGAGCGAGGCAACATATGGCACCATCGTGTATTTGGCTTGCTTTTTATTTCGACCGAATCAGACTGAGAAGGAGAAATTATAAGGTTGCTGGAAGAATATAAGCCAAAGATCAAGCGATGGATTGGCGGTTTGCCAGCTTCTGGACCATATGTGGTTGAGCTGCCGCAGGGTCCTGCCCGGCATCATCCTGGTTGGCTGAGCGCCGCGTTTCCAGAAGGCTGCGAGCCGAATCTTCTTCCTGGCATGAACATGGAGGACATCACACATGCAATTCAGCAATTACGTTTGCGAAGGGGGAAGAGTATTGATGCCGACCTTGGGAATTCTCTGCGGGAGAATCCGGATGGGAATTGGCGCGCCATGGGTGAATTCATGGCTGGATTGATGTCTAAGAAAGTTGCTGGTGACGCGGAAACTCGTTCGGTATCATCCGGCAGCTGTGGGGATGTGGCCCGTAGTGTGCCATTGTTGGCTTTGATGGATGGCACGGTAGATGAGCCTGCGCGGCCAAGTGATATGAAAGGCGAGGTCATGGCTGCGTTGCCAAAGAAGTCATCGCATGAGGATCCCGCTGCGGTGATGGAAGGGGAGCTGGATGAGATGCGTCAAGCATTGGCTGGGGTGCCAGGATCTATGAAGCGCCCAAGTGGCAAGAAAGAGGCCAAGAAAGAAGCGAAGGCTGCGAGCCAAAAGGGAAAGCCAAAAGTTGTCGGCTTGAAGAGGCCTGCGAGCAGTAAGGCAAAGCCGGTTCCAGCTGCGAGCTCGTCCGGAAAATCACTGAAGCGTCCAGCGGCTGCCCAGCAGGATAGCGGTGATGATTATCGGAAACGGCTCTTGGCTACGGTGCCGCGTGCACTGCGGGAGAAGTTTGCCAAGGGCTGCTCAAGTTGCCGCTATCGGCCGTACTGTTGCAATTCGTGTTGGCACAAGAAGGGATTCCATGGCTGAGGGCTTTATATTAGATATGTTTGAGCGGCCGGCGGCGATGGTTTATGTTATAGGATCACTTACATTGGCATGGGAGTCTAAAAACGGCGTGGGGGCATAAGGGATGAGGGGCTCATATATGTATATATATATATGGTATATTATATGTGAACGGAAGTGTTTCTATGTAATATAGATAATTGTACGCAAATATATATATATGTATATGCATATATGTATGCATTTTTTCCAGCAATGAGTGTCCACATGAAAATTTTGCTGATCCGCAGCTGTTTGGGCCACTTCACGGGGAAATTTGAACAGCCTCGACATCGTTTGCGGTTGTTGAGGACAGCACACAGTCTTCTGGTGATTTTAATTTTGTTCCAAAAAGAATTTGTGTAGCTCTATTCCCTGGCAGGACCTGGACGTGGCGCACATGGCTGAGGATGAAAGTGGAAGTTATACGGATGGCGACGACGATGAAGAAGATGTGCCTGCGGGGCCGCCGAATGCTGATGGAGCTGCACTGGCTGCGCCCAAGGCAGCACCAGCGTCATTGTTGCCTGCGGGCAATCCAGGCGATGAGCGTCGCTGCGAGCGGGGCAGTGGATCAGAGAAGTCTCAGTCGCCAGCGCGCCCGCGCAGCAGTGGCCGTGGTCGCTCAGCGCGGCGTGCTGGGGAGCGAGCCGCGCGCTCGGAGGCGCCAGCCTTTATTCCCCCGCCACCGCCTCCTTTCCGCGGGAAGGGAAAGGGGAAGCAGAAAGGCAGATCGCCCAGACGCTACTGTGAGCATTGTTGGAATCCCGTGGGGGAGCATGCGAGCTCTATGGAGCAACATCAATACTGGAACCTAGAGTGTCTCGTATGGCAGCGATATGGCGATGGCTCGAAGATGTCTTGGAAAGAAGCTCAAGAAGGAGCGCAAAGGCAAAAGGAACGGAGGGAACGGCGAATTGCTGAGCAGGCGGCACTGCGTGCGGCGCAGCCGCCGCCGGAGCCAGCAGTGCCTCCTTCGAAAGAATCCAAGAAGCCAAAGGAAGATCAGACTGAGAAGAAGAAGAGAAAGAAAAAGAAGCGCGCGACGCCTTCGCCCAGTCCCAAGAAGCACAAGAAGGACAAGAAAGATAAGAAGGATGGCTCTGGGGACTCTCACGAGGAGCCCGACAAGAAGAAGCACAGGTGTGAGTTGATTCCGCAAGAGGATGGCACGTACATCCTGAAATTTGTCAAATGAGAAACGGCCCACGCGGTCGTCCGCCTGACGTGTGAGTGGCTTTTTCCGTATGTTTTCCAACTCTGCTGCCACGGCCTGTATAGAAGTTTTTAAAGCATATATAATATATGTATACTGTATGTGTAAATACAATCTTTTTGTTGTTGCTATATCATTTGAAAGGCCGTGGCAGGCTTTTGACTCTATACTGTACCGCGATGTGTGATCAAAAAAGAAGTCTGGGGAACGGAGTCGGTCATGTGTGTTGTTGAAATGCATATATGTGATGACTTCATGATACATATGGCGATTCCTGCATCATTCATGTAACGCATGTCTCTAGCGCAACATGGGCCCAAGTTTGTCACAGTATAAGACGGAAATCGAGGAGCCGTGGGTTCTGGCGCCCATGCCTGTGCGGCGGCGCAAAAAGGGTCCGGAGGAGAGTGTGGAATCCGTCGATGCGGCGCCACCACCTCCCCCTCCGCCACCTTTGCCAGCACCTGTCGACTGCGCGTCGTCTGATAGCATATCTCCAACCAGGCGCCCACGAGGCTCAGAAGCACACAAGGAAGAACGCAAGCGTGTGCGTAAGGATGTGCCAGGCTTGGATGAAGCACTCCCAGATGGCCCAACCTTTGGGAAAGGTGGGAAGGGCCATGGCCGAGATGCACGTGAGAAGTGCGAATTCTGTTGGAAACCGGTTTCACACTTCAAGAGTAGCCAAGAGCAGCACCGTTGGTTCAATGCTCGCTGTCTGCGTTGGCAGCGTTACCTGCGTGGAGACTGCACCTGGACACACGCTGGTCACTATGCCAAGGCATTGTTGGCTGCGCGCCATGAAGAAGCTGATCTCGACCTGCGCATCCAGACTGGGAAGGACACACTGCCGCATGACTCGGGGAAAATGGATTCTCGTGTAAAAGAGAAAGCAAAGAAGAAAAGGCGCGCGCCGCCTTTGGTCCCTAGTCCGGACTCTCCCCAACGTGACCGACGTCGTCGTTCACCACCTTCGTCTGACCACGGGTCGGATCATGGTCGCACTTGCAAGGCGCGCCAATTGGCTCCGGGCGCATGGCTGATCACTACGTACTGATTGCGACTGCCTGCGCGGCAGGTGAGCGCTCTTTCTGGCCGAGTGCGACCATTGGTTTTTTTGGTGCACATGTGTGCCGAAGCGTGTAAAGAAATGCTGCGGCATGGACCTCAAACTGAGTACGTGCAGACAAAAAAGCGCTCCAACCGGCAGCAGGGGTTTCTGTGGTTAGTCAATATGAATGCAATAGCCTTTAAACAATAATAGCAATAGGTTATATGGGTTGTTGTCTTTCCTTTGCTGCAGCCGTTTTGGCTTTCAGGTATAGGCCAGTATATATATATATATATAGTCATGCTTCAAGCTCTAGGCGCTGATGATTTCGGAGTCTCCTGCGAGGAGTTGGCGGCATTTCAGGTCGCGATGGCACGTGCGACTGAAGATGCTAGGGAGCATCCGAGCGATGCCTGGGACACTGTGATGCAAGGGCTGCGCATAGCTGCGTGCTATGCGGATAGCGTGGAAGACGCTGCCACAGAAGAAGATGTTGTAGCCTTGCATAGGCTCCATGTCTTGCTACAGGTTAGCCGTAATGAGCCTGCGAGGCTGAAGAGGCATCCCAAGTATGAAGATCAGTTGCTGGTGAGGTGCCACGTGCCTGTCTCAGGAGATGGCTGGGAGCGCTGCATTCGTCACGGTGGAGTCTTGGCAGGTGAACTCAGGAGGGCAAGGCTTTACTTATCCATTCTGTCATGGGCGCTCACTGGTACGTCTGCGCGACGTCGAGATCAGTGCTGGGTAAAACTCGGCTGCTACTTCCTGAAAAAGGCAGAACGGGAATTGCGTCAACGCTTCCAAGCTCTCACTGGCCGCGAGCCGATCGCAGGTGACTGCGTTTGACCATGCATGGGCAGAAATGAGCGTCTTACTTTGAAAATGGTCTCGATTTGCTTCAAACGGTCCCTGAGTGCGGATGAGTGCGGATGAGTGCGGCCTGAGAGACCCATCATGCCGGATGAGTGCGGATTCGTGCGGGATCGCTCGAGAGCCTTGTCTGTGAGCCAAAAGAGGTGAGTGCGGATGCATGCGGTAAGATGTTTGATAGTTTGAGTGATGGAAAATGCATGGGGATGAGTGCGGATGAGTGCGGGATGCAATTAACTTGACATTGTGGGATGAGTGCGAGATGAGTGCGGATCGATTGTTGATGTTGCTGTTTTTAGGTTTTTGCTGTGATTTTCGCATTGTCAAATGTGTTTGTTTTCCTTGCTTCGGGCTCCAGGTTTTAGCTCCGAAACTATCCTTCGCTCCTACGGTTTCTCTTGCCGCAGTGACTGTATATCGATGGCAATGGTGGAGGCTGCTGACGAGGCCACTCATGCCTGCAAGGCCTGTGGGTACAAGTACTCGCTGAGTGCGGGCAGAGTGCATGGGAGACACTTCCTTTGCCAGGGCTGTCACAACGTGCAAAACACGATCAGGCGAAACTTGGGGGATACGGAAGATGTGCAGAATTTTTCTGCAGACGACTCCATGGCTTTCTTCCGTTCCTTGCGGGATGCGCAGAAGAGCTCTGATTGTGGTAGCTTGTCTTGGAAGAGAATTCGTGCCGGGATGATTTCCCGGTTGACAGAGGAACACATTTCCAAGTTCAGCACCACGGTAGCTGTGCAAGAGCTTCCTTTGTCCGTTTACACGGTTCAAGGATGGGCTGAAGAGGTCATCAAGAAATTTCCGTGTGAGTACAGTGACGCATACGGATGTGAGGTCTACAAAGTGCCGGTGCGCACCCTGTCATGGCAGGAAGCGTTCCAGAAAGTAGAGTCTCGCATCTTAGAAAAAGAGCGCTTGGCCAGCCAAAAAAAGCGCAAGAACCAGGATGACCTGGATGTGCCGCAGGCCGAGCAAAGCGAGGCAAAGTCTGCCAAAGCGGATGCCAAGGCTGCCAAGCAGGAAGCTGCAACGACAAAGAAGACCTTGCAACAGAACGAACGCCTGGCAAGCACGGCGGCAAAGGCACTGGGACCTTTGACCTCTGTTGAAACGTCCTTGCAGAAATGCGTCGCCAAGGCGGAGGAGGCAGAAGATCATGATGCTGCTGCGTTGGAGATGTGCAAGGAAAACTTGGCCAAAGCCATGAAGTGGCGTGAGTCTGCTCGCGAGGCAGTCAATCGCCAGCAGGTGCTCCGTGCGTCGGAGGAACAGAAGGAGAAGGCAGAGTCCTTGACGCCATTGCCGTTTGATGGAGAAGAACTCAAAATCTTTCAGAAACAAAGCTGCGAAGCTGCGAAAGCCCTGAAGCAGAGCGTGCCAAAGAAAGCGGCGAAGGCCAAGGCAGAGCCAAAAAGGAAAGCGACTGAGGCTGAGGCAGAAGAGAAGCCGAAGCGCGCCCGTGGCAAGACCACGCCAAAGAGCGGCTGAAACATGGTTTCCGCTCATGGCATATACAGCATATATATGGGATGCAGCCGCATGATTGTGCTCCTGCTATATGATCTTGCCTCCTGCGTGGAGGTCGCATCTCTTGGAGTTTTTGACCTGACTGGCTGCCTTGGTGGGATCATCGCCATATAGCTATTATGGCACAGTGTGATATAGGCTTCCTTTGTGGAGGTTGCAGCTCATGTGAAGCTTTTGTATATGCATAATTAGATCCAGAGGACCTGCAATTGACAAACAAATTGAAGCACCGCTGGGAAAAGTTGAAAAATGCTGCTGCGTTCGATTAGTGCATTGCAGTGTTCGCTGCGACAACGCTAAATTAGGTCTCTGCATTGTTCGAAGCATTTGCATCCTGTATATATATATATATATGTGTGTATGTGTTGTTGAAATACTTATATTTCTGAACTTGAGATGATGAAAAAGGAAAAGGAAGAAACAAGTTTTCATTCATGCAGTTTTTTAGGCTCAAAATGGCTAAATCAAAATCCAAATGGCAATGGTATCGCCTGGGACACAATCCAGGCCTCGTACGAATCATGACTGGAAAGCAAACTCTAGGTGTGTTTCACACCTTGCCATGCAGCCTGCTGAAAAATCACCAAAAGATGGAATCAGCAAAAGCGAAGGCAACGTGTCCCGAGGAAGAAGACCGCTTGCCACTATCAAGAATTCTTACGGATGCTCTTCAACGCCGCGTGCCAGAAGATGTGGAAGATTGAACAAATCTACCCACTACGCGTGGGAACGAAATGGATTTCACCGTGCGTGAAACGCCGGCAAAGGCTGATGATCACCTCACTGCGAGTGAGGCTGAACGCCAGCGCTTGCCGCTGGGTGAGCCACGGGCTCCACCAGCAACCCGAGCGGGCATATGCTAACGCGCAGTTAATGTCCAGCGGAACAAGCTGCGAGCTTATCTGCGAAATCTTGCCGCTAATTTCCGCAACAAATTCGATTGCCAAATATGCACATGTATATACGAAAGGTTTTATCAACAGCAATTGAGGGCAAGCGCATGAACAAAAGGCTCGCAGCCACACAGTCACACGGCGAGTGCTCTTCCTTCATAACAGTCAAAAAAAACACTAAACAAAAAAAATAAAAGCACGAAGTATGTGCGAAAAACACATGGCATTGAAATTGTGACACACTTGTTAAAACGCATAGCACATTGCCGCAGAACCATGGCTCAAATCACAAAGAGGCGCAAACTAAATGTGGATGATTCACCGAAAGAGCAGTTCCTAGCTTTAAGGCAAATTGTGACCTTGACGCAACAGGATTGTCGTGAAATTGTCGCTTTGCTGCGGAATGCGGATTCCAGCAAGACATGCACCAAAAACAAGGAAGTCTATTTAGATGCATTGCCTTGCTTGAAGGAACTGCGGGTTCCTCTCACAGACGGCGGTCACATGGCTGTTCCTTGCATGTCTCTCGTGGGCTTGCTGCAAAAGAAAGTTGACTCGTGTCCTCTGTTTGCAGAATCGTTGCGGCGTGTGGTTGCGCGCGACGCAACGCGTGTCCGATTAGCCATCTATTGCGATGACGCACAAGGTGGCAATGTCATGGCGGCAAAAGCCACCATGAAAGCCTCTCTCATCTATGCCATCTTCCTGGATTTTCCAATTCTTCATCTCGAAAATCTTTGGTTAACCTTGGCCGTGGTGAAGGCACGAGATGTTGCCCGTTGTAAAGGCGGTCTGGCCGCAGTGATGACGGAGCTCTTCTGCGCTTATAAAGCTGAGTTGGAGAATGGGCTTGCAATCGAAATCACCAAAGGTGATCCTGATCTCATGTTTGTGCCTCAGATTACCTATCTGGCAGACCATGAAGGCCTGCGGGCCTCGCTTGGATGCAAGGGGGCGTCCGGCATAAAACCTTGCCTGAAATGCTTCAACATCGTCAACTTAGGACGCGCAGAAGGAATTCCAAATCATCTCGACATTGCAAGCACCGAGCATCAGCAATTCAAAAGCATGACGCAGAGCATGCTCAACGAAATTGCCCGTATCTTTTCAGAACAGCCCACAAGAAAGAAGCTAGAAGAATGTGAGAAGATGCTTGGATGGAACTGGTCGATTCTGCGGGAAAGTCCTTTGTTGTGTGAAAGCCTGCGCGGCTTCCTAGATATCGAAAACATCTGCTACGATGCGATGCATCACTACTGCTCCAACGGTATCATAGCCCAAGAGCTGGGAGCGTGGTTTTCGCAGTTGAAACAGTCGAACATTGCATTAGACGCTGTGCGCCGCAACGTGCTGTTGGGGTGGACAGTCGTGGATGAGGCTCCATCTCCTGCGCTGCTTTTCGATGAGAAGCTTTGGCGCGAGGACTCTGATTACAGAGGCGACGCGTCTGAGACTTTGGCTGCGCTGCCGCTGTGCGTCTCGTATGGGGAACAAATCTTGCGAGGATGTTGCCCAGAACTGCATCCAGCCCTCAATAGTCTGCGGGACTTGCAAAGCGTCGTTGTATGCTTGAAAAAAGTGAAACGAAAGCCAGCTGCCCGCGGGGCGCTTCGCAACCTACAAATTCAACACATGAAGAGCTTCGATCTGGCATATCCCGGTCAACAGAGGCCAAAGTTGCACTATGCGCTCCACCTCACAGAACAAGTTGACCAGCACAAACTCCTGCTGGACGCGTTCACCTGTGAACGCAAGCATCGCGCATACAAGAAACTTTGTGCTAACAAAACCCTTCAACCAGGAAGAGGAACACTAGCAAAGACCGCACTCCTGACCTTAACAGAGCACGGCCTCAATCAACCGTTGAGTGCGGAATTGCTAGACACGACATTGCTTGGCAACCCAGAGAGGAACCACATCATGGCCGCTGCCATGAACGTCAAAGGGCCCGTGTGGCTCGGCATAGGTATTGCGCACAAAAGTTGTCGCTACGTGCGACATCGGTTTGCCACGCTCAACAAAACAACAGCGTTCGAAATCCTGTGTGGATTGAGCCATGGAATGCATTTTTTTCTCTTGGTGGAACTGTTAACCGCAGTGGATGTCAGCACGCCTGGCCACACCTGCTGGGCAAGACCATCTGCCGCTGACACATCCACTGCGCTAATTCAAGTTGAGGATGACTTCAACCAAAAAATTGATGTTGCATTATACATTCGACATGACACAGGCAACCGCCTGTGGCTGTTGCATTGACTTAAACCTATCGCATGGCGTAAAAAAAAGGCGAGCTGCATGGAAAAAAACACAAAACCTGCATGTCATTCAATAATTTGAAAAAACGATCTTTTTTTTAATGTCCATTTCCAAAAAGTCACCAAAAAAACATAGCATCTACATAGCCTACATAAAACCTACTTATTTCCTACTTATTTTAACCATCAAAATAAGTAAGATATATGTACGCTATGTCAGATATATGTACGACAAGTAGCAAACTGAAGCAAAGTAGTTTGCTTGGGTAGTATGGATGGGCTCGAAGTGCTTCGGTTAAGGGCTCGTGGAGCTGACTTAGCTGCGGAGATTTCCAGAGAACTTGCACGGAAGGTTGACAAACAACAGCTTCGTGTTCTTTTGCCTGATGTGCAGTTGTTAGAGGCAGTTTGCGCCACAGATCCATCTATTACACTTGCGACTCTGTGCTTGAACAATGAGAAAAGGGTGAAAAACAGGTTAATACATATATTAACATAAATTAATCAATATTAACGGGTATTTTGCTAGTGGGTATTGACCACTATTCTATAGTTGGTCATGATCATTCATGATCCTCTTGTGGGTCGATTGGCAGGGGTCTGCGGGGTCATCCAAGGTTGCACTTTCACATCTTCGTTGACAACATTGGATGCTCGGACACTGGAAGTGCTCCAGTTGCTGATGTTTGAATCAAAATGAACCACTGGCGCATTTATTTCTGGTTGCTGGTTTGGAACGTGAGTTTTATTTTCCCATTCAGTTGGGAATAGTCATCCCAACTGACTTTCATATGTTTCAGAGGGGTTGAAACTACCAACCAGATTTAGGTAAATTATAGTGACCTCACTGTTACCTCACTGGAATCAGGTTCGTAAGGGGAAACATCCCCAAATGAAATGGCCGAAAGTTTCAGGGCAGTGAGATATTATGATCTAGCCAGTTCTCTTGTTTTTTGGGTGTCCTGAAATTCGACCGCTTGATGGTAGTTGAGGGGTGACACTGCCAATGTGCCGACATCTTTGAGCAAGGATGGGGATGTCAGTTTTGATTCACAATAATATATAATCCATAATATCTCAATATATCAAACACCCCCTAAATGGCCCCAGATAATCTTCAATTAAACCTTGTTTCTGGGGGGTGTTTATAGGTGGAATGGATCAGCATTTTTCCTTTGAGGCGCTTCACCCCAGGAATTGTACGTGGGTTATTTCACGGAGTACAACTGGACTACAACTATATTAGCCCCTACTGAATGAACTGAGATGAACTAAGCCAGAAACACGATTCCTACAGTTTTCCCCACCAGGCAGCGGCTTGTTTGGATATACATGTCTGAAAATGGGATAGCCATGAAACGTGTTTTTTTTGTTAGGGAACATGATCATCCTAAACCAGTGGACCAGTGGATGGAATGGAGTCCACTCTGTTCCCCACCTTCCAGCTGCGGGTCTCCAGATTTTCATAAGGCATCCCACCAGTACCAATGCCCACACACCTCTGCACAGCCATTTTGGCTGGCGAGCTGGCGCTCTCTGGGGCGCGCCAGACCCAAACCCCTTGCCAGATTTGTTCATGCCAGAATATATGTCAGAATGGCAGGGTAGATTGCCAGATAGAATGTCAAAGTATATCTCAGGAGAGATGCCGCAGTGGGTTTTACTCGAAGAAAGCCCCATTTGTCCATGCCACCTTGGCTCCTGTCATCACGAAGTAGTTGGGTAAACGATACCAAAAACAACTCAATTTGCCCAACGATGCATCAATACCCTGGAAAATGGCTAGCACTAGATTTAGATCTGGCGATGTTATTGTTTGATTCAACAAATTCATCGGAATTCCCTTTCACTTTTTCAATGTTTAAAATCATGTCTGGTTGGTGGTTTGGAACATGATTTTTCCATATATTGGGAATGTCATCATCCCAACTGACGAAGTCATATTTTTCAGACGGTTGGCTCAACCACCAACCAGATTAATGTTGGTTAAACCCTTTTAGATTACCATTGTTCATTATTTTAATTATATTAATTGTTCATTATATTCATTGTTAAATGACCAGATTAGTGATACTTTGATCCGTCTTTTTTCCCGGAGAAGTTTCTCCCTGTCAGAGGAACTCACCTTGAATGCAACGTGCCCAGGCATGGCTGACATGGAAGCTGCGATGCGAGATCACCTGGAACCATGGCTGAGGGCACGGATCAGCAAGGCGCACCCCCAAAAAAAATGGAAAGCACATCGAATCTAGAACAGGAAGATCCTGGAAAAATGAGAGATTGCTACATATAAGATATATATATATATGCATATATATATATTTATAATATATATATATACACATACATAAGTATGGCCCAACTAACAGTTATCGCCATATGCAAATTCCTACATAACATTGTATACGTCTTTTTTATGCTTTTGTGAGATTGCTACATATAACATATATACACCCTTCATTGCCCTTTATTACTTTTCCTATGATTGTCATGCGGAGGTTTCCTGAAATGGGGTACCCCTAAATCATCCACTTATAGATAGATTTTCCATGATAACCAATCCATTTGGGGGTACCCCCATTTATGGAACCCCCCATATTTTGACAACCAACATGTTTTTGTTCGCAAACCTGGTAATTCAATATTGACGAAGGCGTTGTGAACCGTGAAGGATGGCAGACGTTGGTTGTTCCCTTCAGAACGGAAAACGGCAGAATGGTCTATGCTTCTGAATGGTATCATTCAAATATATAAAATATTCAAATGTACAATCATCATCTATACAGTTTTTCATATACCCTATGGTAGTTTGAGAGTTTGCTATTGAAAATTGCCCATTTAGTTCGTTGATTTACCTATTATAGATGCTGATTCTCCATAGTTATGTTAGTTTGCCAGAGGGTACACCTCCATGTTCCTATGGTTTTCCTATGATTTCGCATTAAAAGAGGCTTGCCCATTGAAAGAGGGTGTATGTATATAGTATATATATATATCTTCGCCCTACGAGTTGAGCAGGTGGATTACTACGGCGGGGCAACTATGAAGGACGGTCTGGCGAGTCTGTGAATCCCAACTTGTTTTGGATGGGATTCACAGAAAATGTGGGTGATTTATGTGGGTGATTTTGCAGCGTTGTTCTTTTTTCGTTTCTTTTCGCCTTGGCCAACTGGTAACATCGTGGCCCTAATTCACAAGATATAGACGCAATAATTTATCACTATTTCGGATCTTACGGGTCCCAATTTGTTTTGGGAGGCTTTGCCTGTCCCATATCCCATGACATCTCCATTGTGTACACCTCGATGTTCAAACAACCAGGAGGTGTGGCCCGTGGTGAAACGTCACGTCCCTGCGAGTTGCATGGCCCACAGTCGCGAGTACGGCTTTCCTGGCTGGTGTCTCGCTTCGGTTCGTGGTCGTGTCATTATTCTCAGTTTTGGGAGAGATGCACCATGCACTATGGCCCAACTAGCAGTTGTGGCCCTGTTATAGCCATAGGATGAAATTACCCCAGCTAAGGTTATATTTCTATATCACTCAAATGGATTTTTTCAGCCAGTTATAACTGTTTGCCGGGCTAGATTTGCATCTTAACTACCATACGTTTGCCAAGTGGGATTGCCCGCGAATTCTGAAACGAATTAGACATCACCAGTTTTCTGTTGGAATTTTGTTGGAATAACACAGAGAAACAATGAGAAACATGTTTATGCAGTTTTTCCGTTGTTCTTGGCCAAGTCGATAGAATTTCCCATTGTTTCAGGTCAATGAATTTCACATGTTCCAAATGCCCATGAATTCAAAGTATATCAGCATTTTTTCCACGGTAAATGTGTGAAACTTATATTTTGGTTTTGAAGTCGATCCGATTTTCTAGGCTGAAGCAGTGAAGTCCACGTTTTCGTTGGTTCACATCAACCAATTGTCCTTCTTTTCTTGCCCATATGCTCCATGGTGCTGGAATATTTCCCAACATTTACCCCATAAATGACCCAGTTTTGTAGGTAAATATACCAGCACCATGGAGCATATGGGTTGATTCATCACCGCCAAGAATCCTGGTGGAATATGGTGGAATCCATGAAATCATCGCGACTCAGGATGCGACTCTTTCCACACGAGGTGAACTGGAAATGGCAAATTGTGACTCGGTGGAAGGTGGAGCATGACCTTGGTAGCATCTAGTTATTAAACATATAGCTAATGGCTTTATACATAGCTGCTAATAGCTATATAGATGGCCCATCAGATGATAAACTTGTAATGATTTAGCCATTAATGGTGACATGGGCACGACCACAAGATGCTGGAGACACCGTAACTATGTTAAATAGCCAGAGGGTAATATGGACCCGTAAAAACGGTGATAGGAGGGATTCAGAACCATATCCACTTAGATAGTTTTAGCCATATGTTTATCTGAACTTACTGATAGTTCTTGGGAATATCACCAGCATTTCACCAACATTGGAATTTCGCCAGGCGGATTCCAAAAGATAGCCACGGGGTGGAGCTACCAATGGAGTTCCCAACCCTTTTTTTAGAATGACCATGTTATTTGGGATTTACCAACAAGAAATGGAAAAGACGTGGCAATATCACTCAATACATTACTTTTCAGGATTCTTTTAGATTTATCACATGTTTTGAGACCTATCTCACACGGGGACGGAATGGGGTATCAATTGCTGATGATTTAATCTGTTACAAACTCTAAAAATGATTTGTTGGTTACAGCAAGTGCCCAACATCACAAAACAAGCTGGATACTTCCTATTTCATTACCATCATTGGTATTGTTTGTTTAATGGTTGTTCTTGTTTCTTTCTGCCATTCAATCATATCAAGCTGGTTGTGAGTTTGTTTTTTTAAATATATATATATATAAAAACATATATACATATATACATATAATATAATCATATAATATGATATAATGTACTGTCATGTAATGTAATGTAAGTATGTATGTATGCATGTAATGTAATGTAATGTAATGCAATGTAATGCAATGTAATGTAATGTAATGTATGTAATGTATGTAATGTATGTAATGTATGTAATGTATGTAATGTATGTAATGTGTGTAATGTATGTAATGTATGTCATGTCTGTAATGTATGTAATGTATGTAATGTATGTA